GGTCTCTTCATGTTCCATGTCCCCACTGTTGAACATTTCGGCTAAGGTCACCCACATTGAGTCCTGGGAGCTTCCCCCATCCCGGTCTCTGGGACTTCCTAGAGACTCTCTTCACCACCATCCCAGGCAGCTGCAGATTTCTGTTCATTTCCCCTGGGCCCTTTGATCCTCTCTCCTGTCCCCCCCATACCTGATCCTTCTCTTAGCCCCCTCCCCCTTCCCTCTCCCACCCAGGACCCTCCCTCCTTCTGCTTCCCATGACTATTTTTTGGTTGTTGTTGTTTTTTGTTTTGTTTTTCAAGACAGGGTTTCTCTGTGTAGCCCTGGCTGTCCTGGAACTCACTCTGTAGACCAGGCTGGCCTTGAACTCGTGATCCTCCTGCCTCCACCTCCTTCAGCAAATCCTACCGATGTGCGCCACCACAACCGGCTCCCATGACTATTTTGTTCTCCCTTCTAAATGGGATTCAAGCATCCTCACTTGGGCCTTCTTGTTAAACTTCTTTGGGTCTGTGGGGTATATCAGAAGCTCATGTCTTTAACTCTAAGAAAATTTCTTAAATTATTTCTTTGATGATTTTATTTCCTTAATATTTAGTGTATATTTTAAACTTGATGTCAGACCATCTGGCTGATTCTTTACATTTCTTGTCCCCTACATTTTGTCCTCTTTAAGAAAAATGCCCTTTGTCAGCTCTCCAAAATTACTATTGTGTTAGTTTTCTTTTTAAGTTTTTTTTTATATATAATTTTATGGATATGAGGTTTTTTTTTTCACAAATGTATGTGTGTGTATCACATGTGTGCCTGGTGCTCAGGTGCCAGAGGAGGTGATGAGCCTCCATGTGGGTGCTGGGAATCGAACCTGGGTCCATTGCAATAATAAGAAGTACTCTTAACCAATGGAGCCAATCCCCCAGTTCCTATGTTACATTTTTCATTTGTGTGATCATATTTTCAGTTTGCAGTACGAGGCTCACCCTGCACTGAAGAAAGAGACTAGCATACCTCACCTGCTCTTCTGGACTCATCAATGAGATAATTTGTTACTTTCCCTCTTGCTGGGACAAATGAGAACTCCTTGGGAGAAGAGGGATGCTACCCATTGGAAGCTTTCTTAATGGAAGTCCAAGGGCAGGGAAAAGAGATTTACCATAATATGTGTGTATAGACACCACTTGGAATGTGATTAGCTCTCTCAATTAACATTTAAAGCCATTCCTGTGTGCTTAACCCCTCTGATTACAAGAACATGCTGCAATAATGAGAAGCCATTTACGGGGGACAGTGTGACCCCCAGATAGGGAGAGATGACACCTAGTGTCACAAGTTAAAGTGGGGCAGATTAAAACGAAAGGCTACTAAGAAGCACTCAGCATCGGTCGTTATCCTTTCTTTCTGAAGTGTAATATTTTGATCTCAAATAAATAGTTATTTATTAAAACCAGGCCTGGTGGCATATGCCTTCAATCCCAGACCTTGGAAGGCAAAGGCAGGTGGATTTCTGTGACTGGCAGACATTTGTAGCCTGTTCTATATAGCAAGTTCTAGGACAGAACAGGATTACACAGAGAGATGCTGACTAAAAAAAAGTTGATATTTATATAATAAAATACATATTGATATAACAAAAGCAGTCTGCATTGACTCCCACTTGTGCAGGAGGATCGGCAGACCCATTTTTCTGTCAGTGTCACCTACTGTTGTGGACCTAGTGAGTTTACCTCGTGTGACATAACTTCTATACGTTTCTGTGCACTTCCTAAGTTGTGCCTACTCCTTTACGTCACTTACGCTTGTTAACTATGTAATGTGGTTACTGTATAAAATGAATGAGTAGGGACAGAAAACTATCTCAGAGAAAATATTTCAAGCCTTTTGATAAATTGTATATTAGGAAAGTTTGCTAAGAGAACCCACAGTTCCACTAGATATGAATGAGGCAACCCTGAAAGGTTGAGGTACACCATGAAAGATTAGGGTTCTTTATTCTGACGACTGAGTTGGTGGCGATAAGTGATATGAAGTGGCATTGCTTCTCCTTGATCTAAAGCTAGAGGATGATGTGTGTTGTGGATTTATATTAAGTGAGGGAAACAACGCCCTGTGCCTGACCTTGGGAATGAGGGTTTTTTTTTTTTTTTGACAAGATTGAGAAGAATGAAAGTCTAGCCAGATAGACAAATATCACTAATACCCTTTCTCAGTCACAACTGGTTAGTAACACTTCAAGAAAAATTCATCATCAGAAGTCATGGTGGAAATTGGGGGAGAAGTAAAGAGGCAAAGCAGGAACATAAAAAAAAAAGGACCAGAGTCTGAGAGTCTGTCCAGAACTTAGGGATGCCAGTTCTCCGGCCTCAGTACACTCTGTTCTATCCTAGGGCGGGTATAGCTCTCAAAAGGATGCTTAGGACTAACACCTGGTGCCTTTGGATACTGAATCACCCCGCTGGCTTCTCTGATTCATGTTCCCTCCTCGGTAGCATCCTACTACTTATAATTTGGTTTCCAGTTAGCATGCCTAGATAGAGGCCGTACTGAGTGGCCTGTATCATGACCGTCCTAGCCCCTATGGAAATTAAGCAATCCGCAGTTCTGATAATCTATTTATAAATATCGTACAGGCTGTTTGCCCATTGTGCCAGCAGAATCGGTTTCTACATGTAGCTACTGAGAGACACTGAACTCTTAAACGGTTGATACAAGCTGATAAGAGTTCCCTAGTAGACAGCCAATCGGACCTTCATGGATCCCTCTGGAGATGCTCGTTCTTGGAATCCGCACTCCTTGAAGTTGCACAGCTTGAACCTCTTATTAGCTATTTTATGAGATACCTTCCCTGTGATTTTTTTTCCATTGAAGGAGTTTGATCTAAAATGAGGGCCCAAGTTGGTAATTAGGAGTTTCTTTGAGACCTTCTTTATTGAGACATCTTGGGATTAAAAAAAAAAACAACCCAACCCTCAAATGTATAAGCATAATTCCAAAAGAAACAACACCTACTCTCGCAGTTATAGGCTTCAGGTGTTTTGTATTGTCTGAAAACCGTGTTTTCTAGTGTGGTTATCGTGTCCATGAAGCCTTTCTGTAGTTAAAAATGTCAGTCATATCCTGGCACTCTGAGCTAATGTGTGCAGGGAATGACAGACATATCAATTGGAACCCAGGCCTTCATGCAGGATGCCAAGGCTGTTCAGGCACAGCCTGTATTTGTTTTATGTCTTTCAGCACCTATACTTTTACAAAGAGCACTCAGAGGACTGGCAGGAAGCATAGTAAGGCGGTTTACAGCACCCAGAGCTCTGTGGGTCTCCTCTCATTCTGTGTAAGAGGGAAATACAGTTCTCCTGGTCATGGAGTCTGTGAGCCAAGATCCATCAGACTGACTGGACAGTGGCCAAGTTCCCCCACTTTACTGTAGCCCGTGTCTTGCTTAAGCCACGGGCAACAATCTCTTAAAAATGCTTAAAGCCTCTTACAGTATGACTACGAACTGATAGAACACAGATTGTGTATGTGTGTATGTATGTTGTGTGTGCATGAATACTCCTCATATGTGTCTGTATAAACATACAAGATAATATAAATATTAACTTATGAAACCTTAAAGGAACAGGATCACTCTTCTATACTTCTAGACATTTTTTTTTTTTTGGGAGGCAAAATCTCACTAAGCACAGACTGGCCTCAGATTTCAAGGACAACTCACACTGTGCTGAGATTACAGATGTATACCGCTGCACCCAGTTTTATGTGATGCTAAGGACCAAACCCATGACTGTGGACACTCTAGGCAAGGACTCTATGGACTGATTCATATTCCAAGATTTCGCAACACATTGAAGAACAAGGACGTTTTCTTTTCTTCTCTCTCTCTTTTTTTTTTAAAAAAGATTTATTTATTTTATGTGTATGAGTACACTGTCGCTGTCTTCAGACACACCAGAAGAGGGCATCAAATCACATTATAGATAGTTGTGAGCCATCATGTGGTTGCTGGGAATTGAACTCAGGACCTCCGGAAGAGCAGTCAGTGCTCTTAACCGATGAGCAGTCTCTCCAGCCCCCCAAGGACATACAACTAAATACAGACTACAATAATAGTCATAAAACAAGAGCTTTAGTGTGAACATATCCTGTGACCTAGTTACAGACCTTCAGTCAAACTTCATCAGCTGTCTCTTGATGTTTTTAATGACGATCTTTTGCTTGTATTTTAAGGTCTAGAATCCATTTGAGTAGCATACATTGCTTTTAGCTTTCTTTTAGTTCTTTTTCTCTTATTTTAAGTCTCTTGCTGGTTAGTATGTTTTATGGGCCTGCTTTTGTTTCTCATTAATTTGAGTATTTTAAGGAACATAGGTGGGTCGCTCATCCTAGGGTCCTCTAGGTTGGGTTTGGTGCTGCTTCCTCCTGAACACATGCTATTTGTATAATTTCCGGTTCTGTCTGTATTCTATCCAGAGGCTGTTGTGTCTGTGAAGTTGGCTTCTATCACTTGGTTTTGGTGCTATTTGCTACGTTTTTTGAAGTTAAAATGATATGTTTTCCTTTGTTCCTTTTAAATATGGCTTCATCTTAGGATTTAGCTACTCATAGCCAATTATAGTTTGAAAATTTTAAATGAAAATTTCTACAATACCAACAATTTGTAGGTCTCAAGTTACTTTTGTTATAGTATGTTGTTATAATTGTTCTATTTTATTATTAGTTACCATTGTTAATCTGTCACAGTGTCTGACTTAGAAGTTAAGTTTTATCATAGGTATGTGCATTTAGGAAAAAAACATAGTATGTTTTTCTACCCAACTTTTGGGAATCCCACGGGATGTGTGAATGTCCCTCCTCTAGATATGTGGTGACCATGTATTAAGTAGTTTATGAGGAGCTATTCAAGATGATATAGATGACTCATTCTGTGGCTGTTGTCTCCTGGTTGTTTTGTCTGCTTTCTGCCTGCTGTGTTTGGATGACTCACACAATGTTTCTCTCCCCAGTGGTGATCATGTGTGCCAGCGGTGACACCATCCGGAGGATCATGCTGGCGGTGCACAGACACGGCATGACCGGTGGAGACTACGCTTTCTTCAACATTGAACTCTTCAACAGTTCTTCCTACGGTAACTGTTTCCAGCCTCTCCAACTCTGTCAACGTGTCAGAAAGAGGAGGGAGGAAGTGTCAAAAACCTTAGTGAGGTCCGTAGATGCTCTTTCAGTTACCGTGGGAGCCATATTTGATTCTGGAAATTTGTGACTCAGGGCGCTCCCGTATAGAATGCCTCACGGTTTCTTAAGCTTCTCATCTTTTCTGAGAATCCGTTGGGAGCAAGGAAGTTCTGTGTGCATCAATGTAGCCCATTCCTAACTCCACAGGAATGTGCATTCAGGCCCCGGATGTCATGGTCATGGTGGATTGTTGGAATAATTTAGGTGTGATTTGGGGTAGAATTTTAGGTAGCAGGAACAGATTAGTACATATGTTATAGGGCAGGATATGACAAGGTGTTGCATATACCAAAAAAAAAAGTTGGCATACGTATTGTTTCATAAAACTTTTAGTATTTGATAGTATGTGACTATGTATTTGCATTACACACGTGTTTCTTTTTTTTTAATAATTTATTTTTTCTCAAATCGTAATTCATTCACACAGGGGTTATAAACACAGAAAGGCAGGATGTGGGGAAGGGAATGACACTGGAGTGTGGGTGTTCAGGGGGAATACAGATATCTTTCAGAACCGGGTATTGGCTGGGTGAAGGTTCAGGGGACAAGTCACTATGACTCTGCCTATGACTCGCTTGTTGTGTTTCTTATAGGCAGCAATACAAAAGAAAGTGACAATCGTTGCAAGTTGAGATAAAAGCATGTGGTAGTCTTTGTTCCTAATTCCTCTTCCTCATAGCTTACTATACCTTAATTCTCTCTTAAGTGGAATTTCACGAGCCACAGATATATAGGTCAAAGACATCTGTGACTCCTTAGAATAGATTTGGGGAAACTCCCAGGTTCTGTGTAATAAAGGAGTGATTTTTTAAAAAATTAAAGTAAGTATTTATTTTTACCCATTTGGGTCGTTTTGCCTGATTTTATGTCTGTGTATCACATATGTGCAGTGTCCAGGGAGGCCAGAAGAGGGCGTTGCATAGCCGGGGAACTAGTGTTACAAACCGTTGTCAGCTTCCATGTGGATGCTGGGACTCGAATCTAGGTTCTCTGGGAGAGCAGCTAGGACTCTAACTGCTGAGCCATCTCTTCAGCACCTTTGTAATGGAAGAACGCTTATGGGGTTCGTCCTGATCACAAATCCAAAGCCTTTTCCTTCCCTGGCAGTTAGGACTCTCGCGAAAGTAGTCGTTTCAGGACTATAGGACATTTTCTCAACCACACGCATTGTCTGCTCAAAGCTACACAGCTTTAGAGCTGTAAACATGCAGATTACAGACGGCGTGTTTATGGAGAGCTCCGCTTCCGAGTGCTTGCCGATGATATATAGTTATTTAGATAGGATCCGAGCCTTTAAACATTCACCGTGGTTTCCTGCCCCGATTTCCTGGTTTACTTAAGCAGTGATCGTCGTGTATATACAGATAATATAACACACTTCTCCCGGGGATAAAGAAAAGTTGATGAGACAAAAGTAGCCACTGTTTCCTGTGGTGGACAGCAAGGGGGGTGTGGTGCTTGCAGGATGAATACAGAATTTCATTCTACTCACTAGCATTCTGGTCTTTCCCTCCCTCCCTCCCTCCGTTCTACTAAGTGGAGTGTTATTTTTGCTTATTGCCAGAATATTGTTATACTAGTGGCTGTAGCACTGAGTTCTTTAACTCAGGGATAAAAGCATGTTAAAGGAAAAATATCAGTTCTGTCTTACAAGGTGAAATACAGAATTTAAAGCGATGTGTAAGAACGCATGCTATGAACAGACAAGCACGTTTGCCTGCATTATGCATGTAGTAACAGATGCAAGTGTTACTGCTAGGATTGCTTTCATCTACCGATAAAACTTGTGTGGCTTTACCCTGGTAGAACAATACACGAGCACTGCCGAAAATGTGAAAAATGCATAAAAAAAGTCTGGAAGAAAATAAGTTAAAATTCTGCCACTTAGACAAAAAGTTGCATTGCAACTTCTTAGTCATATATATTATTATATGTATGTATATTTCCCAAGAATAATTTTCAATAAAATGATAATATTATGATACAGATGCATAGTATACCTTTAATCAATCTCTATTTCTTGACACCGCTCCCAGCCTTTTGTTATTAAGAACAGTGTATGCTATATAGTCTGAAGTATTAGAGTCATATACTTATATATATTACATAATATAAATCTCTAGAGGCATAAATCTGGCTTAACGGTTGTATGTAAGCATTGCTAGGAATTGTCACTGTTTCCCATACAGAGGTTTACCAATTTATATTTTTATATACCAAATGATGAAATTTTTTATCCTTTATCAGTCTTGTAAAATATAACTTTACTTATCAGAATTAATTTTTATGTCCATAAGCAAAGTTTCTGTAGTTTTAAATTTTAATCTATTTCTCTGTGTGTGTGTGTTGTGTGTATGTGTGTGTGTGTTTGTAGTGTGTGTATGTGTATGTGGTGTGTGTATGTGTGTAGTGTGTGTATGTGTGTGTGGTATGTGTGTGTATGTGGTGTGTGTGTGTATGTGTGTTTGTGGTATATGTGTATGAGTGGTGTGTGTGTGTATATGGTGTGTGTATGTGTGTTTGTGGTGTATGTGTATGAGTGGTGTGTGTGTGTATGTATATGTGTGGAGTGTGTATGTATGTGTGGTGTGTGTGTATGTATGTGTGAGTGGTGAGTGTATGTGTGCGGTGTGTATGTGTGTGCATGTGTGTGGTGTATGTGTGTGCATGTGTGTGGTGTATGTGTGTGTATGTGGTGTGTATGTATGTGTGTGTGATGTATGTGTGGTATATGTGTGTGTATGTGGTGTGTATGTATGTGTGTGTGATGTGTGTGTGTGGTGTATGTGTGTGTATGTGGTGTATATGTATGTGTGTGTGATGTGTGTGTGGTGTGTGTGTATGTGTGTGTGTGTGAGTGGTGTGTGTGTGTGTGTGTGTGTGTGTGTGTGTGTGTACAGCTGGTGTGGTAAGCATGTGGAGGTCAGATGACCATTTTATGGAGCTGATTCCCTTCTGCTTTTATGTGAGTTCTGGGCCATCAGGATTGGGTAGCAGGTGCCTTTACTTACTGAGCCATGTGGAAGCCCATTTCTATTTGTTAATTTTTCAATTTTTGCTATATTTTATGTGTATAGGGATTTTTTTGTCTGCATGTGTGCCCATGTACCGCATGTGTGCCTAATGGGTGCCCGAGGGGGCCAGAAGAAGGCACTGGATCCCCTGGAGCTGGAGTAACAGACAGTTGTGGTCTGTCATGTGGTGCTGGGAACCAAACCTGAGTTCTCTGAAGGAGCAGCCAGTGCTCTTCATTCTGTGCCTCTCTTCATCTTCAGCAACCCCTCCAGTTTTATTTTTAATATATACATTTTAAAATTATAATTAAATTTTTAGAAACATAAAGTTAACCACTTTTTTTTTTTGCCAGTGTCTCTCTATGTAGCCCTGGCTGTACTGGAACAGCTAGACCAGGCTAGCTTTGAACTCATAGGGGTCCACTGGACTGTCTTCCAAGAGCTGGCATTAAAGGTGTATGATGCCATGCTTGGGCAAGATTAACTACTTTAAATAATTAAATTATTCATATGTTAGAAACTCTATTCCATGGGTTCAAGTTTTGTTTTCTTTTTATTTGTTTTAAATTCTTTCTTTCTTTCTTTCTTTCTTTCTTTCTTCCTTCCTTCCTTCCTTCCTTCCTTCCTTTTTTCCTCCCTCCCTCCCTCCCTCCCTTTCTCTCTCTCTCTCTTTTAAATGTGTGTGGCCTGGCGTGTATGTGTGTGTACCACATGTGTGCTTAGTGCCCACAGAGGGCTGAAGAGTGCATCTTGTGAACCTGCACGTGGGGCTGAGCACCAGACTCAGGTCCTCTTCGAGAGAAACCAGTACTCTTAACTGCCAAACCATCTCTCTAGCTCCAGTTTTTATTTTCTTGAAAATTTAATCGCAAAATGGTTTTACACAAGTCACAATGAATACTTGATGGTTCTGACTAAATCTGAGTCTTTTACTGTAGATTTGCTCAGGCTTTGGGCTCTGGTCTTAATTAGTCCGAGAGAGACTTTCCTATCTACTAACTCTTAACAGCTAAGACCTGAGAGTTAACACCTACAACTTTAATCTTTGAGGAGTTACTCTGCCCTCCTCTGCAGCCTTAGTCTGTTCTAGTGACTCATCCATCAGGCCAAGTAACAGATAAACACGTGAGAGGATTTGGGTTAACTACCCAGCAGATATTATGAAGCATAGTAAGCATTTAACAAATATTTGTCACATTCATTATTAGTCTTAGTTTGCTTTGACTACTGCAATGTTAAATGGAATGTTAAAAAATGTAGTTATGTTGTCAAACTTTTCTCTGATATGTGTTTTATACATACATTTCAGGTGATCCATTCTGGTACTCCATTCACGGACTTACAGCTAATCCACCCTAAGGGGCTGTGTGGACTATGAATTATACTTGTAAATGAATAATCATACATTCAACAACAGTGACGCACACATAAAGGTTGCTTGTACCTGAAAGAGCCCTGGCTGTGGGAAGTCCAGGGTAGGGATCCGATTTCCCAAGATCATTAGTGTTACAAATGTCATAGGTTTCCTGTCTCCATTTTCTATATCAAATATTGTGACCCCGACTCCACAGGTCATTCCTTATTTCTGGTTTAACCAGGTCAAGAATAGCAGACAAGAGGAGATCCTACTCGCTGACTCTGTTCTTTTGGTTGGCTACTACGGAAGCTCTACTCAATGTCTGGTTGTGTGGGGTTGGCAATCCCTGGATAAAATTCGAAATTGTACTCTCAGTTGGACTTTTTAATATCAAAACTCGTGTGGGATTCTGGGAGTAAGGAGGGAGGGAAGATGGCTGTAGTGTGGTGCCTTACTGTGTCTTCCATAGACCCTAAAGCACCGTTTTCCTCAGAGCAGAAGTGACCAATGACATCATCCAGTG